TCCTCCCCACTGACCGTTCCGAAATTCTAAGTTTCCACATTTAAAACCCCTCGTGCGGGGGGGGGGGCAGAGAGAAGCCTCAGTGCCGTCCCCTCCCTTTAAGCCCCCCACAGGCAGCAGCCTTTTCTCCTTGGCAGGAGTCAGCCAGGCCAGGCGTGTTTTCGTGTTAAGTGAGTCACCTGAGCCCAGGAAGCCCCCTCCCCAGGCCTGTGGCCAGACATTTGTGGGGGGGGGCACTAATTTAATGGTTTAGGAAATACTCCTCCATGCAGAGACCGCTGGCGAGTATCATGGGAGTGGGGTGGGGGTGCAGTTAGCCCAGCACGAACTGTGGCCGACACCAGCTGCCGATGGAGTCTGCAAAAAGGCCACCGTCCTTTGGGACTGTGTGCCAGTCAAGACGCAGCGCGGAGTGGGAAACCTGGCTGGTTACGGATGCGCTCCTCCCGCGCTCGCTCCAGGTCGCCCACTATCCGACCCCAACAGGCTCCTCCCCTGCCGCACAGGCAGGCCAGGCCCTGGTGGAGCTCCTGCACCGGCGGCGCAACGTGGCTGTCCCTTGCTGGTCGCCCGCTGCTCGAAGGGGGCGGCCCAGCTCTGAGAGTGCTCCGACTCTGTGGCTGGTGGCGGCACCTGGGAACTCCACACGTGGCCCGGGGTCTCTGCCCTCCCGGGAGGGAAGCAGCATGGCACATCTGGGAGGGGCTGTTGCCCTCAAATGCCCCTCCTCCCCGTGGCTACAGGCCTGCCCCACTCAACTCTTGCCAGGTGGCTTCAGACGAGCAGCTGTGTTCAAGTCTCACCTCCGCATAGTATGTGGATAATACTGCTCTACCTAACAGGGTTGTTGTTGTCAGCAAGCTGCCATAAGATGCTGTATTCATTTTCTGTGTTACTTTACACCCTGCCCATCCCCCTTGTATTTCCCTGTGTAGGTGTTTACTGTCTTTTGCTACTACATCTGCGGAACTGCTCAAGGTCAACCAGCTGGAGGTGGGATGGAGTGATGGCATTGCTTGGCTTATTATGTATACCATGCCTGGGAACTGAACTAGTGTTTATGTTGCAGAACCGTTGTGTTCCCAAGGAATTGGGCGCTCGTTTTATCTTTCTTCCCGCCAGCGGGAAGTGGACTCATTGGTCCTCACCTGGTTCAAAGTTCCTTTATTATGTTCCCTTAGGGGGCTTGTAGTTATTCCTAACAATGCTTGTGTTCTGATCTATCATCGCTTGATAATAAACTCTACTTTGTTCTTCAAACAAAGTATGGGGAGTCGGACAGTTGTAAGGATTACCAGGTAAGCCTGTGAAGGCTTTGAACACTACCTGAACTGCCACATGTTTTATGGACAAGATGTTTATGGACAAGATTACGGGTTGCCTACAACAATCAGATCTCTTCCCAAAAATCTCCAACCTTGAGGAGAAATGGCTTCCATTCTTAGAATTTATAGCAAACTATGACCTCCCACCTCCTAATCCTGCTTATCTCCAACTGATTATTCTCTATTTTCTATTCCACTAGTCGTGAACATGGTTGTGATTTTTGAAGCTAAGATTATTCTGATAGTTAATTATATCTCATATATAACTCCTAAGGACGCTCACAATATTTGTCTCCTTTCCTACTTGGAACATTTATAGATTGTTAAAACAAGGTTTGTGTATGTTATGTTTGGTGTTTCGTTCTGAACTGGACAGAATTTATGAAAAAAAATGCTTCTGCAAGAATACTATGCTCTGTTATGCCTGGGGAAAAGTAATACAATACGGGTACTCCTTTAAAAACCTTGTTTTCAGGGCGCCCACATCCTCCCCTCTGGCCATTGCTGGCCTCGGGAGGGGAAAACCTCCCGGACAAGGGGCCGTCTTGGGCAGCGACTTCGCCCCATCCTTCTTCTCCGGCACGGAAGGCGCCCCGCCTCCGCCGTCCCCGGGGGCTCTGCGCCGCCTTTACGCTCCGGCCGACGCTTCCCCGGCCTCGGCGGGCGCCAGGCGGAGCCGCGAGGGAAAGACGCGGCGGCGGCGGGCCCGGCGGGGCTCTTGCGGGGCATGCGGCGC